TTGGGGGGGGGGGGGGGGGAGCCATAACACAATTACTAGTTTAGTAAGACCTATCAATAAAATAGAAATTGAACAAGTTAATATCACGTAAAATTTGGAAACAAGATTAACATAAATCATTAATGAAGTCGTAGAGTATTTTTAATGACCATACTGTAAGAGCCTACTTAAGCACACTTCAAGTCATAATAGAGTTACAACTTTGGTAGAACCAAACAATTATGGCTTGAATTCCGCATTTACATTAAGAAACTAAGTTAATAAGTATAAATAATATATGGAAAAACAAGAAAGGAAAAATAATTATAGTACAAAAGCCGTAAAAACTTAAAATTTCAGATCCGCCTCTTACGACACTTTACACTGAAATGAGTACACATTTTTCTTACTCCTTGCTTGATCACACACTCTTTATTTGAGTACACATAAAACTCTAACCACCTATATTTATAGGTGGTTATGAAAGAATCTAGTGAATAATATATTTAAGAACTACACCAATCACTTATCTATAGAATTTCACTTTCTATAATGTTTTTAGGTTTGCATTCAAGAACTCTCATTATAGAGATGATCCTTCAATTCTCCACAAGTCCTGAATATTCTATGTTCTTCTTTGAATTATTGTAGATATTAAGTTTGATGATTTTTTAACATTCCCCCTCAACACCAATTTAATTTATTCTTTGCATCCATTTTGAGTGATCCATTGTACCTCTTTTTCCCTCTAAACTTCTCCACTCACTACTCTATGAAGCATCTTCAATGTAGTAATTTCCTTGATCTGGAAAACCTCTTCTAAGGTTGCATCTATAAACTTGGTGTTTTGGTGTTATAGTCATGTAGACCTCCTTAGTTGTGGTTGTGGTGCTTTTTTGACTTCTTTTAGCAACATGATATAGAAGTTTCCTTTAAACTTCTCCACTCAATACTCTTTAAGTATTTTCAATGTAGCAATTTCCTTGATCTGGAAACATCTGCTAAGGTTGCATCTATAACTTGGTGTTTGGGTGTTTCAGTCATGTAGACCTCCTTAGTTGCGGTTGTGGTGCTTCTTTGACTTCTTTTTGCAACATGACAGAAGTTTCCTTTAAACTTCTCCATTCACTGCCCTCTGAAGCATCTTCATTGTAGTAATTTTCTTGATCTGGAAAACCTTTGCTGAGGTTGCATCTATAAACTTGGTGTTTGGGTGTTTCAGTCGTGTAGACCTCCTTAGTTGCGGTTTTGGTGCTTCTTTGACTTCTTTATGCAACATGACAGAAGTTTCATAAGCTCCTATTTTCCATGACCTATTTTTGTGGAGATACCCCTTGAGTAGGTGATTGGGGTTTTCCCTTTGCCTCATGGTTAGTTTCTATCTTGTCCCCTCATTTTTCTTGTTTGAGTTTATCTTGCAGCTTTCACTCAAGTGTTGTTAGTTCTAGTAAGGAAACCTCTTTGGACCACCATGCTAATGTTTCATTAATTACTACATTTATATACGCTTACGTCTGATTTGTGGTAGGGCCACAACAACTTTGTCCCTATATTTGTTCATCATAACTAATAATGATGCAACAAACAACATTTTTATACAACTTGTTGTAGAGATGAACTAGCAGTAGCACATATGACTCACATACAATCTCTCAAAAATGACTTAAATTAGGTATCGTCTTCTTGTTTTTTTTCCGAATGGTGAGATAAATCGTAATCAATGTGGCATCCTCTTCGTTATGAGGACAACAATCTTCATGCATTATTCAAAAAATCTTGCTTCTACATGCAAACTATGAATGTTTGAGTAGTGAAATCACTACAAATGAGAGAGATGAAATTGTATGAGTTCAGTCTTTTAAGATTCTTAGCGTTAAATCTATTATGTTTTTAAAATTATGGGTTCATGTCCATTATTAATTGCAACTTTATTAAATTGTTACACATAAATTTATGTTTTACGTTTAAAGTTATGGGTTCAATTGAACCCGTACCTATAAGGGTATATCCTCCCTTGTACTAATCCCCTTTGTTAGAAATTACAGTCCATCTACAACACCCCATTTAATTTTTGCATATTTGGGAATTTTAATTATCACCTTATCATCTTCTGTTAAGGTAGTCATTGAAATCATATGACGTGTTCTCCCCCATTTATCATACAAAAACATTTCATTCTTCTTCCAATATCATTATCACATACTTTAGACTTATCCTTTAAGAATTAAATCCACACGTACCTTAAAAATTCATCAATGAATGTTACCATATATCAGTAGCCACTAATAGAAGGTTGTTTTAATGGTTCAAACATGTTTATTAAGTGCACTAGCTCCAGTGGCTTATAGTCTTGATACTTTGTTTCTCCATAGGAAATTAAGTTGATGTGCTTTTTCATATTGGCATACAACATATATAATGTCTCCTCTAGCTTGGGAAAGATTTTTAAATTTTGACTGTAGCATCATGATTTTTGATTTGTTGTAGCTCAAGTGTCCAAGATGTGGATTTCATTGATAAGTTGTTTCAACACTTTGAGTGTTCTTCATAAAAGTTTTCTCGGCTACCATGATGTATATTAACTACCTCCATGATATGAAAGTTCATAACTTTGAAGTTTTGATCTAATTTTATGTCATTTGATACAAATACATCATAGTTTCCTAAGGTTGTTAGTTGCAACACAAATAATAAGTTCTTCAAATCCGAAAAATGGTAGATATTTTGAAGTTGAGTCTTGTGCTATGATGAGGCATGAACTCCGTCTTTTCAATATGAGTTATTGACATTAAAGAACTATTTGTTGTCACCTCTACTTGACCGCCTTTATACTCACTCATGTTGATAAGCTTTTTCTCATCAGTGGTCATGTGATTGGAGCATCCTTAATCAACAATCCAATTATTTGCATAATCGAGCAATTGTTCACTTACAGATACACAATCAAGCTCCTTTTCATTGTCAGAGTGAATGTGATGAGTGCTTCTTGTTGATTCCTTACTTTCTTCAACTATATAAGAGGTCTCGAAATCCAAAGCTTCTTTTTTCCATCTTATTTCTAGTTTTGGGTAAATGTGGCTATGTTACCTTCATTTTTCTTGTAATAACAATCTCATGCGTAGGATTCTTTTTCTTTAATTTAGAACTTTTCCCATTGTCAGATGTTGAAACCTTGGTTTGCCTTCTGTTTGGCTCACTTGATTCTTTAATCTTGATTCTTCTGGTCCCCCCTACCCGTAATCTTCTCTCTAAAACCATTTTCGATAGCCTTGCTGTTTGCTCAAGAGTGCATTACTAAGCATGGACTAGCTTTATTTGATAATGCAAGTTAGTGTTTATATTCTTAGTATACATAACGTAAACTCTAATTTTAAAATAGCATTCCTTTAATCAATACAAACGAAGAGACAATTTTTATAATAACCAAGAAAATCAACAAATTTTTGAATAAATGAGCAAAAAGAGAGGAATAAAGAATGTATTTCATAAAACATTTATAAGAAGGTGCAGGGACGTAAAAGATTAAATTAAGAAAAAGAAAAGATATAAACCTGGAATTGGGGTGTTTCTTCCATTGCCAAAAGTATGTTTTCCCACACGCCAAAATCATAAGCTCTCTCGATGATATCATAACACACTTCTTCCCACTTTGTTTATCGAGAAAAAAACTCTGAGAAAAAAAATTAATCAATATTCACAATGTGTCGTGTTGTATTAATGATTAGATTAATCAAAACAAACATTATATGTAAAATAACAGGAAAAAAAACTTTAATCAATATTCACAATGTGTCGTGTTGTATTTATAATTTGATTAATCAAAACAAACAGTATATATAAAATAACAATTTGATACAATTTGATACATAATAACCACCAAAAAATCAAATTGTACAATTTTACAAATAATCTAAATTTTGGAGAGCGAAACACAATAAAACATGTTTTGTTTGATATTTTTAGTGGCGATAACTACACACAAAAAGTACAAAAAAAAAAGATATAGCAGGTGACTAATAGATAGGATTAAGAATCTTAAGAACTAAATTAAGAATTTTAGTAAAGATAAAAACACTGTGATTTCTTCCTACTTACTTGAGTTGTAGAGTTATGTGGCATACGAGGGGAGCGAAAGGATCTCAAAAAAGTTGATTGAATCTCGTTGCTTGAAAATACACTAACGCAAACAAGGTAAAATATTTTTTTTAATTATATATGAACGGTTTAATCCATAATTCTAGTTTAGTACCAAATGGGGTTTGCATTAGATTACGAATTTAAATCCTAGGTGTGACACCTATCATCTTGTTTAATTCCCTTGTACAAATTTCTAACTCCACCCTTTTTGGTACTTCTATTGGTGAGAAGAGCTAGTTTCATATGAATCCAATAATTTCAATTCATATTGACAAGAGGAAATTGTTAGGATGGTAAGCACCCCTTACATCAACACTAATTTTGTGGGTTCATGTTACCAAGGGAACCAAAAAGACGTGGGGACTCTCGGGGAGGGATAAAAAATACTTTTATATATTGTAGAACATAATATTTGTGTAAAAAATCATGATAAATACAACAAATAATAGATATGAACCCACAACTTTAAAAATAAATGGATTTAATGTTAAGATCCTTTTTAAAATTGAATTCATAAATCATAAATTCACCTTTGGTGAGAGGTAGCGTACACAAAAACTAACTCAAACAGTACCGTTAGAAAACAAATAAGCTTAAAAATAACCTAATCAAAATGAAATTTTACCAGTTTGCCTCCATCAAGGAGAATGGGAGAATCACATAGACTAAAAAAGAGCTCTTTTTTGGTGTTGCAAATTGGAGGAAACTCTGATCTATCAACTATTTCTTGATAACCGAAGGGCAAAAATCTTCCCCAAATTAGATCTGATTCTACAACACGTTTGAATTCTTTTGACAATATTGTTGATTTTACAGCATCAGAAGGGGTTGTTTTTGAAATTATTTCAATAATGCACCCTTCTGGCAGCCTTTCAAAATAATCTATTGGAGCAATAGACATAGAAAAACTCATGTCAATATTTTTGTAAAAGTTTATAACTGATAGAACCAAAGTTATTTTTGTTTCAAGAGTTATGTATAGTTTAAATAATCATAAGGAAATATTTTTAGAAATCTATAGTCAGTTATAGTAATAAGTACAGATAAGCATATACAATTATGTTTATTTTATTTTATATTTGACTACATGCAATTTTATTTTATTGGTAGATTAACTAAATAAAAGAGTCAAACTAATACAATATATATATATATATATATATATATATATTACATTTATTACCTTAAAATCATGAACTCCTGACTTGAATGTTAAATAACTATAATATCCTTAACTTAGGTTGTGACTTTTTCGATGAGTTATGACTTCTCCGATAAGTTGTGACTTTTTTCAAAGGGTTGTGATTTTTCGATGAGTTGTGACTTTTTTAAATATTTGTGACTTTTCCAATAAGTTGTGACTTTTTCAAATGGTTGTGACTTCGCAGAAAGGTCATGACTTTTCATATAAGACACAAAAAACACTTGTTCTTACTACCCTTTGTTAACTATAAATAGAGGGGCTTCCTCTCAGTTTTCAACCACAATTTTTTTTAATCTTCTACTCTTCTTTTTCTTACATTTTAAATTTTTTGTGTGATTTATTGTCGTTGAGTGAGTTCGAAGCTTAGTGAAATATGAGGTACCACTATATTGATGAAGTAAATCGTTATATCCAAAGAAGGTATATTCCATAACCTCGAGTACTTGAGAAAAATAATTTTGGTGATATAATAATTATTTTTTTGCTTAATATATACATTAGTATGTAATGTTCCAATATATGAAGTTAAAATGATGTACTCTAAATTCATTTTTTTAATTAACAGCTTCTGTTGTGATGTAGATATATGCTTCTGAATATCTTTTTTCCAAAATTTAGAGAATTTTCACGATTTGTTTTTTTCATGCTCAAGACAAAGAAAATAAATGATACTTATGTGATTTAGATTGCCAGGAAGTTTGCTTCAAAATAGTTAATACTATATAAGCATTGCCCTTTTGTTTTACTTATTTGCTATTTCTTAATATTTTAGTATTTTAGACGAAGAAAAGTTCATATGACTTGTAATAACGTCAGTTGATGTTTGTATTAGTTTAATTATTATTATTTATTTAATAGCTAATTTTTATGAGATAAATATTTTCATTAATGTAAATATATATTTATATTTGGGTAGGTAATTGTATTTAAAGTAAAGTATTATATATGTCACGAATGTATTATCAAGTTAACAAGATCTTCTAACTTCAAAAATACATTATTTTAAAATGTTCTGAGATCTTTTTTTTTTATAAAAAAACTCACAACAAATGTAAAAGTATGTGAATATATATGAATCATTTAAAATTTATCATTTACAAAATAAATTTTATATTCAGTAATATGGAATAAACATTTCTATTTTGTCCCTACACTAAATTAAAATCAAATAACTATAGAAAAATAGT